TTTTCGTTGACTAAAATACACAAAATGAGAAAAGTTTATATGGTAAGAATCCAAAGTTTCCATTGAAGCTGAAAAGGGAATATCACATGATAAAAAAAATAGCACTAACCGTTTTTTTATAGATGCACTTTGAGGTTTTCTTGTTGGTTTTTGTCTTTTCTTCTTTTCTTTTTCATTGACTTTCAATAATGCATCCATGGTGGTCAAACTTTCGCCGTACGGTCGCTCTACAGCTCGTTTTCGTTTGTTGGTTATTTGTTGGGATGACGATGTCATGTGATTATTAATAGCCGTAGTCAATGCATTTAAACAATTCGAAATTGCTATTGATGAGTCTTGAACAGAAATATTAGCAACCGTATCTATTGAAGTATCAATATCATGAGAAAGGAAACTTGTAGTATTTTTTAATACTTGAGTTGAGTTACAACCTAAGTCGAGAAAATTACCAGAAATCAAGAAAGTGAGACAGAAATTGGCACCGAAATACTAACCTGTTGTTACACAATTAAGCAATGGTTCATCTTTCTGATGAATTGTAGTTGAGTTACACAAGGCAATAGAATCTAACATATACAAATTTGAGTGTGTAGTGCTCATTCAATGAATAACTTACTATCGACGATTATATCGAATGTGTTCGAGTACAAAACTCGTGCAGCACCAGCAATTACTGAAGATGTACCTAAGATGAGACAATATTAGCTTAAACTCAATATTATGCTGCAAACTATTACTTTTGTTTTTCATAGCACAATCTGGAACATCGTCAAGTGACGTAGTTATGCTATTTACAGCGCTCGTTGCATCGTTAAGATACCCTAAAATAAAAAATGAATATTAAACGTCAATTGTATGTCCTCTTTACTCTATCAGAATGTTGATAAAGTATCTGGATAATAAGGATATTACTCATAAGAATAATTGTATTATGGAAATTTGTTCTAATTAATTCTCTCTCATATTGTTCACATAAATATTTACCTTGACATGTTCCAAGACTGTCGTTCATTGTATTAGCAGAAACCAATTGAAAATTGAAAGAGTCAGTTGAAGCATCGAGCCTTGTTGTAGTAAGATTGAGTCCTGCAAAACTATAGAAAAGATCTTATGTTTTATATCGTGTCACTCACCGTTAGTAGATAAATTGATACAAGATGAAGAACGATTAATAGTACGAGGTATCCCGGAACTGTGATTCTGACGATGAAGAATATCATCTGTATCTGATTGTGTAATAGAAGATGTTTGATTACTTTGTAAAGTTACAGATGATGGAGGTGATAGTAGTTTTTCTGTCGAAACAGCACGAGGGTCAAAGGGAAAAATCCCTGCTCTGGAAAAGCCTCCTTGACAATGGGATTTTAGCAAATGATTTTCCCATAATTCTTTAATCTATAATACAAAGAACTATTTCATTTAGAAATAATATATATATCTTACCAATAATGCAAATTTGACCTTATCAATTGGTGCTGAATTTGTTTGTAAATTATGTTTACGTAATAATTGACGCCACGCAGTCTTGACCTTGGTGAGAGTAACAAGATCAAGTGGTTGTAAAATTGTGGTGGTGTGAGGTGGAAGACATTCAATTATCACATCATTATTCATTGCCATTTTAATGATACGAGTTGAAATATGAGTATAGTGTCCATCATATATAAGAATGACAGGTCGTTTAATAGATTTAATGGCAGGTAAAAATTGGCGAGAAAACCAATCAAAAAATATGGGCTCTTCAACCCAACCTGTTGGTGAGACATTGTATCTTGTGCCTGGAAATCCGTTCTTGGGACACCAAATGTCGTACAAACGAACACCACGATGTATTAAATATGGAGGTAAACACCTATAACAACAGATCTAAGATTTAAGATAAATTAAAATTTTAGATCATACTCTCCAATTGCAGAAGCACATATAAGCACCGTAGTATGAGACTTTCCGGAACCACTATGAGAAGATGTTGGATGTTTATTTGATCGTGTTACAACAACTTGCTTCCGACCCGGGTCATCGGTGAACCCTGACTCGTCCACGTTCCATATAGCATCAGGACGATTGAATAAATTATGTGTTGTCAGAACATCTTTTAAATGAGCAAACCATTTCACTACAATAAATACAAAAGAAAATATGTTGTCGGTGTCTGAGAAAAATTTCTCAGCATGTAGTCACTCACCGACTACTTCCTTTGTACAAGCTGTTGATCGAACTTTTTCCAATTTCACATCTTTTACTAATTTCAAATCATCTTTCCACCTGTTCATAAATCCATAAAACCATTCATTTAAATGTGAATCAATTGAAATATTCCGACCAAGTTCTAACATATAATTCTTTGCAATTGCCTTAATAGCTGCTGGAGTCATCGGATGTTGCCATTGTTGAAAAGTCTGAATTACATGAATAAGAAATGATTCTTCTTCTTTTGATAAAATGGTCTTTGCTCCACGTT